CTTCCTCCTCGCCCCCTCCCATTGTGCTCACACAAAGCTGTGGGCCGCACAGCCACTGTGGAGGTCCGCACATCCAAATGCCTGCCTTCCATCCCTGCTGGGACACCCCAAACTCAGCATGTCTAAAACTGACTGTCATCCCTCCCCCTACATGCTGGGTGGCATTCTTGAGTCCACCCTGTACATCTAATTCTGACCAACCACCAAGTCCTACTAATTCAAATGCCAGAATTTCTCCCAGCCATTTTTCTCCTTTCTAGCCTTAGTGTTGTACCATAGCCCAGTTCAGACTCTTTCCTCTTCTACTACCAGCCTGCCAGTGGACACTTCTTCCCTCAAGTCTTCCCCCTCAACTTCGTCTTTATATGAGTGTGATGTTCCCACTCTCTGCATGAAATTCTTCAGTTGCTCCCTTTTCCCCACATGACCACATCTGCTCCCCTCAGCATGGCTTGTTCCAGGAATCCGCCACAGAGGTAGTGGAGTGTGACAGTCATGAGTCTATCTGGAGCCAGCCTGCCCCTTGCTGTATGATTGGGTGCAGGTGCTTATACTGCCCATGACTTGGTTTTCTCATCTGAAATGGGGATGATCACCATACCTCATCATTAGGCTGCTATGATAGTTGAGTAAATAAAATAAAATAAAAGTGTATACGCGCAGGAGAGAGAGAGCTAGAGGGAGAGAGAGAATAGTGCCAGCCACACAGTAAGCACTGTATACGCATTTGCTGTTGAGACTCCTTTCCCATACACTCTGCTCCACGACCCCTTATGCTTCCCTCCCCACAATGTGGTTTCCCCTCTCAGTAAGGCTCTCCCTTGTTTTTGTCCAGCTAGCCTTTGTTCACATTGACCTCTTGGCCTTGGAAGTTCTCCCGCACCTGGCTGACTCCGTCTCATCCTCTATGAGTTCAGGAATTGCCTTCCAGCCTCTGGCAATACCTCAGGCACAGGCTTGGCTTCCCATTTCACCTCTGTGTGTTGGTTACCAGCCTACATCCCCCAGTAGTTTATGGAAAGGAGGGATTGAATCTTATTATTATCTTTTATCTCCTGCCCCTAGCTTAGCGATTGGTGTTTAAAAGAAATGCAGTAAAGGTTTGTGGACTGGAAGATATTATAGTACTCATAAAAACCACACTGTCAGAGCTATCTTTCTAAACACAGATCTGATGACAACTTTTCTGTACTGAGATGTTTATTCTGAAACAACGAGGACTATGTTCAGAATAAACCACAAAACTGGAAGCCCACTTCCTTGCAGAAGCAGGAAGAGCCTAGCTGAGGAGATCTTTAACCCAGGGGACCTGAGGCAGCAGCCTGAGAGAGAACAGAAATCAGGAGATAGGGAAGCAAAGTCCCAGCTGGGTGACCGTCATGCTTTGCTAGCCACTTCTCAAGGGAACAATTGTTTTAGCTCTTCTTGTGACAAGCCAGCTGTCTGTTCAATCCCATCTGCTTGTTGAGAACCTCCTGGTGGAGCATCAGAACCTTCTTCAGTGACACAAGGTGGCGGAGCTGTCAGTCATGTCCCCAGGAGGTCAGCAAACACCTGGGAGAGCAAGGTTCATGGCAGGGTGATGACACCCAGCCCTGGGCAACACCCAAACCTCACTATGTGCAGGCTGTACCCCTGATAAGTGAACGAGGGTGCCTGGTGGTGGGATCTGGTGTTGGTAATGTATGAAATTCTCTGTGACTCCAGCGTGCAGCGAGCGAGGTGGAGAACCACTACTCCAGGAGTGGGGGTGCGGCTGCACTGGGTCGGAAGGAAGAATTAAACCCGTCACCTGTCCTTTTATTTTTTTCTGGGCCAAATGGGCTTCCTTTTTAAGTAACATTTATAGATGAAGCCACTTTCCCAAATCTAGTCCATAATAGGCAAAATGTTGTTTACTCTCTAGCTTTTATTCACCTCCTTGGCTCGCGCGTTTTCGAGGTGACTTGGGCTAGCCCGTTAGTGCTGTGACCCGCAGCAGGAGCCCCAGCTCACCTGGTGGGGCAGGCAGGTTCTCAGCTGTAAGCAACAAAAATCATTTTTTTTTTGTTAATAGGAAAGGAAAGTTAAGTAGAAAATTGATTTTTATAACATGAAAACACATACATATATATATAACATAAAATTTGCAATTTTAACTCTTTAAATTTACAGCTCAGTGGCATTAATTACATTCACAATGTGCCACCATCACCACTATATGCAAAACTTTTTCATCAACCTGTGAAGAAACTCTGTGTCCATTAAGCAATAAATCTCCATTTTTCTCTTCCCCCAGCCCTTAGCAACCTGAATACTACTTTCTGACTCTATGAGTTTGCCTATTCTACATATCTCATGTAAGTGGAATTATGAAATATTCTCAGGGTATTTCTGGTCTGCCTCACTTCCCTTAGCATACTGTCTTCAACGTTTATCTGTATCATAGCATGTATTGGTATTTCTTTCCTTTCAATGGCTGACTAATATTTCATCGAATGGGTATATCATGTTTTTAATCCAAAAAAATGAATTTTTAAAGGATATTGGGTAGGTTCTGCAGAAGAAAGCATGGAGTCTGGATAGCCAACGTGGGGCTTCAGGTTCTGTAGGACCTTTGGCTCCAAATAAACACCTGGGTGTTGAATCGAAGCTGCCTCTCTACTGCGTGGTCTTGGGTAAAATACTCTGAGCCAGTCCCTCATCTGTAAAATAGGGATAAAGCACCTTGTTTAATCATTTGAGATAATCCATGTAAATTACTCAGCATAAATTGTGACACAAATAAAAGTGCTTATGAATGTTACCTGTTATTATGGCTCATAATATTATTGTTCATGTGTCTTCCTAGTACAAAATCTGACAGGTAGAACTTTTTCTAAAACATCTCTGCCTAAGGAAAGAAATAAAACCAAGTTACTATTTTGTATATGATTTAATTGCTTTGGGGGGAAGGAGGGCAGTACTTAGACCTCTGAGGAAAGGAAGAAGGCTCCTCTTCTGACTGAGGGGGACAGACACTAACTACCCTGGGCCGTCCAGCTTGATGCCCTCTTTAGGGGGGGCAGCTTTAGGGCTTTGCTTTCAAAATACAAGCCCACCCCATGGAAGCACAAAAGGGCCAGGTGGACAGAGGAGATGTCTGATGAAAGGAAATAAGACATGGTTCCTTTGGACCTGAAGTCCCATTGACTCTAACTGGACTTCCCTGTGATGGGAACTAGTTAGAGACTGGGGGTATGTTATGGTCCTTTGGAAATAGATGGACCTGGTTTCAAACTCCAGCTCTGTTGGTCACAGGTCAAGTTTCCCGTCTGATAGGGCTGAAAGGGGTCACCTCTGGGAGACGCACAGGGTGTGTAGCACCCAGGAGATCCACCGCCCAAGGGCACTAAGGCCAGAAGTGTCACCACGGAGCCCCCAGAAGAAGCCAGATATCAGGCCGAGGTGTCTTGTTGCCCATTAGTTTTTCACTCCCTCTGGCCTGTCTGCATAGTTGGCTCAGACATCTTGGCAGCAGGGAGCCTTTGGTGTGGTCTTTCGTCCTCAGTCAGGAAGGGGCACAACAAGCTTCCATTGCTGGTTGAGATCCAGTAATTCTGGGTTAAGTCCTTGAGCCAGCTTGAGCAACCTTGTAATGCAGCTCTGCCCTCTGATTCCTAGAAGTGTTTTATTTAGTTGTAACATTTTTTGTATAAACCTTGTTAAAATAATATTCACCCACAATTCAGAAATCAAACTTGTATGCTGTGTTTTGAAGTTGCTCTTGCCACTGGCTAGCGAGACCCTGCGAGTGCTGGCAGTACACTTGCAGGTGTCTCCTGAGACCCATCACCGGCACTCCTAACAGGATACAGGGCTACATTGTAATAGTGGCTATAGTAATAATGATCTCTCCCACAATACGGATTAGTTAACTCCGTCACTTAATTAATTCTTTTCAAAAACCCTTCATGGTTAGCATGTGATGGAAGACTGGCCTCTTTTTTCACAGATATGAAAACTGGAACTCAGACATCGATTACTAACAAATGGTCCATCTGGGGTTAGTGTACACACTTCTGACCTCTGGTCCAGCGGTCAATTTATTTCCCTCAGTAAAAGTGGGCAGTGTGGGAACTCTGAATTTTGTTGACTTGGGGGTTTGTGATATGGTTCCAGGGAGGTCACCTGACCTCTCTCTGCCTAAAAAGGGGGCAAATCTGTGATCTTTCTCTTTCTCTCCAAATTTCCAAAAAGGAAGCACCTCTCAGCCTGAGCAGCAGCCTGAGCCTATTTTGTAGGCAGTAAGGTATACAGGTGTCTCATTGCCTGTGCCCCGGGGCAGCAGTAAATTGATATTTGCTGATCTCCAAACCTCTGGCAGAGATGGGGAGGGAGGGCTGGGAATGTGACATTTCTTTAAATAACCACACCTGGTTCTAAGAGCAGAAGGTTTGGCATGTCCCTGTAGCCTCATCAATTACCATCAACCTTTGCAAAGGGAGCCCCAGGAGAGAGAATCTCTTCACACTCTTAAGATTATTTATAGGCACCCCATCCTGTCCATACTCTGGGGGTATATGGGTTCCTCGGCAGCAGTCTCCTTCCAGATGTGTTTATATTCTTCCAGGCCCAGTGAAATGCGTCCTTCAGCCCCTCCGCTACATGGAGCAGAGGGGGTGCTCAGCTCTAGAACATAATGAAGATGGGGACGGGGAGACAAGGGCAGGATGCCCGAATCCCTCAGTTAGAGTCATGTATCTCCCAGCAAACACTGACTGAGTAGCTTCCGAGGAGGCAGTTCAGTGTGGTGGTTAAATAAACACGCTTTGCAATCAGACAGACCTGGATTTGAATGCCAGCTCTGTCATTTACAAGCTGTGTGGCTCTCATTAAGTTACTTAAAGCTTTCGCCTCCACTTCCTCATCTGTAAAATGGGATAATAATACCTTCTCACAGGGTCACGGTGAGGCTTGAATGCAATGTCTCACATGGCAGGTGATAGGTAGGTATACGGTGCCTGTTTTTAAAAAAAAATAAAAATACGGAATACTTCATGAATTTTTGTCATCTTTGCCCAGGGCATGCTAATCTTCTTTGTATCCTTCCATTTTAGGGTAGGTGCTGCCGAAGCAAGCACTGCTGCCTTGCCTGTTCTTATAAGGCACTGCTAGCTTCTCTCTCCCTCTCTCTCTCTCTCACTCTCTGTGCACAGAAACCCATGGATAGGAGAGGTCAGAGGGCACTTCTCGGTGGGAGAGGTGACTGAGCTGACCGAGTGTTTGAAACATGTTGCTGCACATGCCAGCAGGGTGCCCACCGCCTGACTGTGGGTTGGCGGGATGCCCTCGACCAGATTTTAGGAAAAGCTGTTTTAGCTTGGGAAAGTGGCTCGGGCTGCCAGTGTCCAGCAGGGAGGCTTGGCAGCCTCTCCAGAGGGAGCGGTCTGTCCGTGTGCGGCCCTGCGTGGAGCATCTGTGTTAACGACTCACCCAGCCCTAGCAAAAGTGAGGCTGCCTAAAATGACGGAAAGAAAAGATACCTTTTGGGTGAGTTATCTGCAGTTAATGGATTTTTTACTCAGGGCTCAAATTTCCACAGCTGTTTCTGAATTTTTTTTCAGTTGAATCAAAATAAGATTCACACACATAGCAAGTGGTTGGTATTTCTCATAGTCTCTTCAATTGATAGATTCCCCCGCTCTCTTTGTATTCCCTTGCAATTCATTTGTTGAAGAGGCCAGGTCATTCCCCATTTTGCAGATAAAATTGCATTTCTGTCATTCCCTTGCTGAGCCATAAAACCTAAGGAAATCTTGCCAATTGTGACAACATGAGTGGACCTTGAGGGCCTTATGCTAAGTGACATAAGTCAGGCAGGGAATGATAAATACTGAATGATTCCACTTGAATATGGAATCTAAACCAACCAACCAAACAAAACCCCTGAATTCCTAACTACAGAGAACAGATTGGTGGCAGGGGCCCAAATAAGTGAAGGTGGTCAAAAAGTACAAGCTCCAGTTAAAACATAAACAAGCCCTGGGAATGTAATGTATAGCATGGTGACTGTAGTTAATAAAACTGTATTGTGTATTTTAAAGTTGCTAACAGAGATCTTAAAAGTTATCATCTTAAAGTTGCTAACAGAGATCTTAAAAGTTACAAGGAAAAATTTTAACTGTACAGGGTGACATATGTTAACTAGACTTACCGTGGTGATCGTTTTACAATATATGAAGATATCAAACAGTTTTGTCATACGCTGATATAATACTCTATGTCAATTATATCTCAGTTAAATCTTTTTAAAAAATAAGGAAACGATTATTTTTCGAAAGTGTTTTACCATTTACAATCCACCAAAGATATGTGAATATTTCAATTGCTCTGGATCCTCACTGACAAACAGTACCAGCAATCTTTCGGTCATTCTCACGGTTCCGGGCACTGAAGTCCAAGACCGTGGAGTGGGTGGGTTTGGTTTCCTCTTGGCTTGCAGACAGCTGCCTTCACGCTGAGTCTTCACATTGCCTTTCCTCTGTGTGTGGGCATCCTTGGTGCCTTTTTGTGTGCCAAGACTTCCTCTTTATATAAGAATACCAGGCATATTGGATTAGGGCTCACCCCCAAAGCTTTATTTTAACTTAATCATCCCTTTAAGGCCCTGCCTCCAGATAGGTCACTTCTGAGATGCTGGGCCTTAAGGCTTCAACATATGATCCTTTGGGAGGACACAGTTCAGCTTAAGACAGGACTGTACTGGGTCTGTCAATCAGTGTTGAAATGATTGATCCCTTAACAATATCGAGCCTTCCAATCCAAGAGCATGTTATGTCTCTCCATATACCTAAGTCTTTCATTTTCCAGAGATGTTTTATAGTGTTCAGTGTAGAGGGCTTGCATATATTTTGTTACATTTACTCCTAGATATATTTTGTGGGTTTTTTGATGCTATTGTAAATGCTGTTTTTTAATTTTTCAATTGTTTATGGCTAGTCTATAGAAATGCAGTTATTTTTGTATGTTATATCTTGAAATCTTGTTAAATTTCTGATTTTACTAGTTCCTTTGTGATCTTTATATCTTTTTCTTACTTTTTTGCATTGGCCAGAACCTTCAGTATAATGCAGAACAGAAATGGTAAGAGTAAACAGCCTTGACTTCTTCCTGATCTTGGAGGAAAGTATAGGTGTTACCATTAAGACTGAGGTTGATTTTATTTTTATTTTTATTCATTTTTTAAAGGATTTTATTTTTATTTTTTTTAAAGGGGGGGGGGGATGTGATTTGATTTTCTACAGATACCCTTTAACAATTTGGTAGCTATGAAAATGTATCTTTCAGATTTCCCAGTGTGGGAAGCTTGAAGACCGAGAGCCCAACAGCTGCATTCTGAAATCCATCACTGTGTTTGGGCCGAGGCCACACTTCGCACAGACTCCTCCCAGCCAATGCCTGGGAGATGTGGCATTCCTTGGGTGGGTGACTTTGGCTTGCAGACTCCCTGATGGCTTTGCCTAACTCTCTAAAAGCTGCACTGGAGTTTCAGATGCTTCTACATCACCTGCCCTCTAATTTCCTCCTGCTTCACCTGGGGTCAGATTTGCATCATGATCTGATAAGTCTATAATTCTCATTCTAGACTATAATAAGTCTTCTAGGCCTTTTTTTTCATTCTCTCTCACAAGCATTTACTCTAGTAAATTTCATGCACATTTAATTTTGTCTTGTGATCTGCTTTCCAGAAGACCCATACTAACCCAGGAATTCCTGTTCTATTCCTTGTTTGCTAAGAGGTTTTTCTTTTTTTAAACTTAATCTCGAATATGTATTGAACTTTGTGAAAGAATTTTTTTTGCATTTACTGAAACAATCATATGATTTCTCTTTTTTTTGTTAACATAGTAACATTAATTACTTTTTGAAAGTTAAGCCAACCTTGCATTCCTGAGATAAATTTTAGTTGTCAGGAAGTTATATTGTTTTTATATATTGTTGTGTCTTAGTTGCATATTTCCAAGGTTTTTATACCTTTATTAATGGGGATATTAATCTTTAATATCTAGTGTCTTTGTAAGGTTTTGGTGCCAACATTATTCTACTTATAAGAGTTTTAGTATGATTGACATTATTTCTTTGAAATGTTTTGATAGATTTCACCAGGGCAGCTATCTGTGCCTGGAGTTTTCTTTTTCTTTGCATTTTTAGTCTTTACTTCTGGCATGCTTCATTGTCTGTGGAGGCATTATTCTGCTTAATTTTTTTCTTAAAATAACTTTGTGTGGGATTGAAACACAATCCATTTTTGTTGTTTATGCTTAAAAGGGCATGAGTTATTCTGTTCACTTTGGTAAGGAGAGTGGGCTGGGATTGTTTTCCTAGCTCTTTAGTTCTGGAGTTCACTGTTCTGTTGTTATTACCAAATGTTCAAATATATAGCTTGTGTATTCTAACATCTGCTGCCTCAGTTAACCTCCCCCAGTTTTTTTTCTTTCTTTTCTTCTTTTTGTCCTCAGCTGAGGGTATGCTAATTGATTCTAGAAAGAAGGGAAGAGGGGGAGAGAACAAGAGAGAGAAACATCAATCAGTGCCTCTCAAGCACACCCCAGTTAAGGACCTAATCCACAACCCAGGCGTGTGCCCTGAATGGGAATCAAATCTGCAGCCTTTCAGTTTATGGGATGAAGCTCCAACCAACTGAGCCACTCTGATCAGGGAAACCTCCCCGTTTTATCAGGAACTTTTCTTTTCTTTTTCCCTAGTGCCTTGTCCTATGTAAATTAGATTCTACTGCAAATAAGTTCTATCTAGTACAAGGAAGGGAGCTCTTGTAAGTTCTAAGCGTTCACAGAACCCAGACAGCTTCAGCATCCTCTGATCATGTAGTCACAGACTGAAGCCTGCAAGGCCCCTGCAGGTCCTGGCTGTTTTTCCCAGATTGTGTTTCCCTTCCCTAAGACATGTCTGTTGGCAATTTGGGGTCACCTGGCTACCTGGTTCAACATAAATCCTGTGTCTTCTTTGCTTTCCCTACACACTTGTTGATGTCAGATGGTCCAGGTGATATTTGTGTTTTTTTCTCAACTGTTCATATTTTCAGGCTGATAGAGATTCTTATTTTGCTGCAGATGTTGTCTGCAGGATGTTGATGTTGCAATCTTAGACTGTTTTTTTGGTGGAGTGGCTCAAAAAGATAAAAAATTATAGCACTATGGCTGACACCCTCCTAGACTCCCTGAATGTATCTGGAGAGTTTGTGGGGAAGGTGCAGGTGGAGATAGCCAATTACATGCCCACCCTAGGAGTTTAGGCAATATATACAAGCCACCGAGAGTCCTATTTGATTTTGAAAGTGTTAAAACTCTTGTGAGAAACTACAAAAGACCTTCGGAGTTGATGGGGGTAGGCCCAGACACTAACAATGACACTTGTGAAATAAAAATGGAGAGTAAAGTAAGATGCTTCTCATTGAGTTCTTCTTGGTACCAGGTATTGCATGAAGTGTTTTGGATGACTTTTCTTAATTAAGTTTCTCAACCACCCTATAAAGAAGGTACTACTATTATTACCCCCTACTTTTATCACTTTTATTATAAGGCAGGTAGTATCACTGTTACTTTACAGTGTTGAAATGAGGGGTAGAGGGGTTTATAACTTTCCCACAGTTGCACAGATCTCTGGCACTTCAAAGCTGGTGCCTGTAGCCATTCTTCCATGCCTGCCTTTCATCTTTGTGCATATACGCCTGTGGACAAAGGGCTCAGAGAGTCAGGGAACCACTCTCACACAGGTACCTGGACTCTTGCCTGAGTCGTGGGGATGGCACCATGTGCCTAGCCTTAGTGACTTATCTGGAGGATACAGTGCAACTCTCTACCCAACAAAAAGGAACACTTTTGAAACAGTAGCATAAGAAAGTGGCAACTCAGTAGTCCAATGGTAGGAAGTCAGGCAGGGCAGCCAAGGTGGGTGTTCAATAGAGACAAGGCCAGTAGTAGAAGCTTCAGTGCAGGTCACCAAATGACAGGTCAGCCTGGGCACACGTATCAGGAAAGCTCTCCTTGCTCTGATGAGCCAGACTCCCAGGCTGGCAGTTGCTGCCTGGCTTCACACCCTGGCTCTGTCGCTTTGTGGATAT